TATTGCGTGTCGCGCGCGACGAACATCGCGCTGGTGTGACGGAGGCATTAAAATAGTAACTGGCTGTTTCTCGGAATTATCAAAAAAACTTGTGTTCGGCTCGTCCATCTGCCTCGGTAAATTGTTAGTTCCCAGCACGAGATTCATACTCGTATTAAACATTTGTACGAATCAAAATCTATGCTGGAATGGCCGCAATATAAAGAAGTTACTGATGCACTGGGTACCTATTATGGAACACGTAGGAATAGATTCTGATCGGAATTATTTCGTTTTCCTTGGAAAACACAATAGAAATCTAGGAAATAATTGAATAATTCCGATCGGAATCCATTCCGAATAATTTCATAATACTACCTAGGATTCACCACTCTTCTTCTTCTTCAGATTTGGTTAGCCCCGGCTTCGCAAGGAAGTCCACTCTGGCTAGAGCACTAGAAACGTAGGTATTCGCGTCCACCATTTTTACTCCTTTCCCCACTGTTTGTTCTCTCTTCAACCTTCTCTCTTCTCTTTTCAAGCTTCTTAGTTTAGCGGCGGAATGGAGAGAGAGCAAGGAATTGAGAAAAGGAGCAAGAGAGTGAGAAAAGAAGTAAAAATGGCGGATGCGAATACTCACGTTTATAGTGCCTTAAGCCGGTGGCACACGATGCTTGTTTTCTTGTTGGATTGTTAGCTGGATTAGATTCTTGCCACCGTATTGGCTGCGATGCTGACAGTGCCAGCATCGCAGCCAATACCATGGCAAGAATCTAATCCAGCTAGCAATCCAGTAAGAAAACAAGCATCGTGTGCTGCTGGCTTTACTCTGGCCAGTAACGATATTCGAGATTGCATTAATGGTCGCGTTTAGCAGACTCAACTGTTGTGGAGCAGATCCGTGAGCGCTCGCTGTTATTGGTGTATTCTTCTAGATCATCCAATAGCAGCGAGCGCTCACGGATCCGCTCCACAACAGTTGAGTCTGCTGAACGCGACCAATGCAAAGCAAAATATGTTTGAGGTGACGCAACACCCGAGACGGACACATCCGTCCGCACCATCGACATATAGGCTGGGTTCGGGGAAACGCTATTAGCGCTATTTGTGTCATTCTATCTTCATCGTCCATTAAATGTGAAACAAGGATAGTATGACACAAATAGCGTTGATAGCGCGCTCCTCGAACGCA